ATATATACATACACACACACACACTGCATAATAATTATACTTATAAAGCCCACCTCGAGCAACTTTTTTTATTTCACATTGGAAGGATGGTTAGAAGACCTTGACAGACATGTTAACACTTCGCCATTCTATCCAGAATAAAGTAATATCTGGCTAAAGTTAGGCTTTGAGAGGGTTTTTTACCTTCCGGATTGCAGTTTATAGAACACAATATAGGTAGGCATAACACAAAATGGAGTTTTTGACCACAGTAGTATGGCTGAGAAATCTTTTTTTTGGACTAATGTATGTACAAATTGGGTTGTGTTATATTTCATCAAAAGACACAAGTTTTAGGGCCTGTGTTTAAAGTAGACAGTCTACTTTAAACACAGGAAGGAAACTTGCATTTTTAGAAGCAGGCAGCCCCCATACTTCTCTCATTAGAACTTTAATACTGACAGCGTGAAGCAGTAAATCTATAGCAACAGGTTTTTTTAAATAAAGCACAAACTTAAGCTGGCCATACACTTTACAACCATCGCACGACTTTCGTCTTGCGATGGTTGTAAGGTAAGTAAAAGCTCATACGATCTGCCCATCATGGACAGGCAGATCGTACTTGCGATCATCGCAAGCCCGCCCTGCTGAGGGGCGGGCTTCCGATGACTGCAATGGTGAGCGGGCAGTGTGCACTTGCGCACACCGGCCCATGCGGCATTTGTCTTACGAGCACGCCACAAACCCGCTGAAAATCTTACGATTTTTGGCTGGTTTTCCAACGTGCTCGTAAGACAAAAGAGTGCGACCGTACAGTAGAAACGGTCACACGCCTTCCATACACCTGCCGATTATCGTACGATCGCGGGATTTCCCGCTATTATCGTACGATAATCGGCAGGTGTATGGCCACCGTAAGGCAGCAAGCAAGAGCAATTCATCGGAACTCATCTGTTGCTGTTGTGCCTTCAGTATATTAAATTCGAATCGGCATGATATGGGCTACAGTGATTTGCACATCCACTGCAATAAACCTTTGTGACAATTAGAATGCTTCAGACAGAGACAAACAACAATAACCTCAAAAACTGTACAATCTAATGCCACTAAACTTTGATTATTAGAGCTGAGCTTGTATCGGTTTTGCACAGTTGAAGAGGCTTCCCTCCTGTACTGAAGTTGCTTACTCCGATTTCACTGCACACTGTGAGCTTCTCACAATGTGAATTAGAAGCTGCAGCAAGTCAGATAGAGCCTGCCTCATTTCCTGGCCGAAGGGAGGCCAGCATCATCTAACACTTTGCTACCCAGCCTGACTGTCCCTGCCCACACCCTTCATTCATTTGACTGCAGTTCTTTCATTCAGATGCAAATGCATCCTTCCTAGAAACACCCACTGACATCCACCCATCAAGGTATTTTTATATTGGCATAACTCCTCCCCAAAGGCAGCCCACTATTTGTACCAGGCCTTGAGAAGCGTATTAAGGCAGGATCCTGTGATGTGTTCAGGAGTACCCTGCTGGTTCCTCCCACCAGAAGCACAGAGAAACAGCGATGACATCAATGGCTCTAAAATAAGATATGTATTGAACACGTAAAAGGTTCAAGGAAGGACCAGGAAAGGCAAAATAAAAGAAGACTACATTTCAGCTTTAAATTTAGTTTGTTAGAAATACTTGGGACAAAATGCTAAAAACTAAATACATTCAATAAAAAATCGGGCGGACTTAATAGACCACATTGCCTTTCTCTGCCATCATTCGCCTATTTTTCTATGTAAATGTGCTTATGTTTATGTACTCACCTTTGCTATTCTTTCAGCTGTTTCTTTACAGAATGTTGTTGGGTTGTCAAAATGCTGAATTAAATGTGGCAACAGGCACAAAATATTAAGAGGAAACCCTGCCAAAAAATGGACACGTCAGACATGCTGAAAGATAATCACACTACTACATACAACCAATGCTAGATTCATTTATTTACAACCAGATATTTTTATACCCCTATGGCTAACCCTACAGAGGACCAAAGCTGGCCACATGCGTTTCATTAAAGTTGTACACCCTCTATGTTAACTTTACAAACCACCATGAAGAACAAACTCCCCCTAAATAACTCATTTCAGTTTATATTCAGGTCGACCCTCGCAATACATAAATTAAGTCTAATGAAACACAAACTGTGCGTCATTTGTGTTTAGCCGATAGAAAAAGGTACTGCTGATTTTATAAATCCCATAATAGTTGTTCAAACGTTTATCAGGATATTTCTATATTTCTATCAAACGTTTATCAGGATATATTTTCTATTAAAAATATTCCAAATTGTTATCACACAAACGCATCATAATCTCAAATATTTCAACCAAATATCAAAGATAAAACTCTACTGAGTTGAAAACAAATTTGTGTTGCATTAAAAGTGCGTTTTGGTGAAGTGATCTAATAAAACTTTAAATGAGTGACATGCACTCAAATCCTTATTATTTCATCTATTTAGTGTTAAAATAAAATGATGCCCCAAAACCAGTTTGAAACTTATAGCAAGTTCTGGAATAATGCAAATGTGTAGAGTAATAAGGGTATGATGCATACCCGTGCATCCTGATTGTGTGTACACAGGTGTGTTAATGGAGAAAAAAGGAAAAGCACAATCACATAAGTACAGTAAAACCCATCACCAGGCAAATATTAAACAACAACTCCGGGCAGAATAAAACTTGACCCTTGTAGTGGGGCTACCCTGAACTGCAAGGGGTAAAAGTGCTCCTTTTCGTCTATGGTCTAAAATAACAAAGATATACTGTTAGACCGCTCCCTGCAATGTCCCTCGTTGCGTCTAATACACCGTATTAGATGTGATGACTCACTGATCCTTAGACTGCCAGAGCTGAGGAGGAGGGAGACTGCGCTACACAGCAGTACGTATAGTACATCGGCACCAGCGAAAGGAGGTCACATTAAAGGGGGCAATTCCATTCCACCTGGGAAAGTGGAAATACCCTTTAAGCTGAAGTCATGTGATGCTCCAGCCCAGAAGCTTCTTTTTTCTTATGTTTTCCTGGAGGTGGGGTCTTTTTTCAGTTGACCATGTCACTGCCTATGTGAGGTGGACACTTACTATTCGCTGTCCTGTGGCGGGGGTCTCTAAGGTTCTGGAAGAGAAATCTGAAGTAGTGAGGTTACCCCTGCAAAACACACTATCAAGATACCTGGGAGACAGATTTAGGTGAGTATATCTTTCTTCATGAGGTAAGAAAGCAACAAAAATGTGGAGAGTGAGTTAGGGGAAGGGGTTAATATTGACCTGGAGATGGGTTATAATAAGTAAACTTGGCTGTCCCATGTACATACTTAATGATGAACAATATATATTCCAGAATTGATGCCACTCACCACTAAGCAGGGGCGGATCCACTATGGTGTGCTTAGAAACAGTTATAAGCTTGCTGAGCAAATGCACAGTCATTTCCTGTGTGGAAATGGAAGTAAAACCCTTCAAGAAAAGTTGCTGCAGACCAGGGAAGTTATTCCACTTCAGTTTGCTCTGAACCTTCTCGATCTTTTCACGGCTTTCAGATTTATCCAGTGGCAAGTGAGTGAACAGCTTGTTGAGTAGCTTAAGAGCGAGCAAATACTCATACTCATAGTCTGACTCCAGCAAGGACGCTGCTATCCAGAAAATAGTAGCCATGAGATTGGTGGGATCAGTAGTGGGCTGCAGATCATGAATCCCTCCCTCTCGCAGGGAGGAGAGGCTTCTAGTCCTTGCTAGACTCCCCCCATGGTTTATCCTGCCATCCATTATATCCAGTGTGTTACTCCGCCGCCGGTCCAGTCCACGGTCAACCATTAAACTTAGCCTTAAAGAGTTGCTCCTAGCATTGTTACAATATGACATGAAGTTGCCGCTGGTAAGAGGACTTGTGCTTAGATTTAGCTGCCCAGTGCTCTTCCTGTTTGCAGCATGTTTATTGCCCATCACTGGCTCTTGGTATGAGGTGCTAGAACACAGGGAATACAAACAACTTATTAGAAGGACCTATCACACACATCACCTTAAGTGAACACAGCATAACTTTAGAGGACATACCATACAGAAGAACTTAAATTAATACTTATTGCATTTAAATTGGTCCTATAATTTAACTCTGGTGCAACAATTAGAAAAAAACCCCAAGCATGAAACAAAACATTTATGACATCACCATAACCCTAACAGGTATATATGAAAGAATTCAAAATATCGAAAGCTGTGCATGGCCACTCCTCCCTTTGAATATGACAGCTCAGCTGACCTGAACCAGGAAAAAATATCTGGTTCTAATTACGCTAACCTATTCTGTTCTAGTTAAGCTGTGCTCTCAGTCAGCACAAGGCAACCGAATGAGTAGATACAGACAAACTTTTTTCAAAGTGTCACTTTCTGTGCTGTATATGAACTGCTCTGACTCTGCTGTAAAGGTACAATGCTTAGGTGTACCTGTATATATGGTAGCCCATGTAAACTGGCATAAAACTCTGCAGTTCAGACCTCAAGTGGTACCTCCAAATCCTTCCTTTATCTGCAAGCAGAGCATGCATGTTTTATCATTGCAATGGGCAGCCTCACACATGGTTTATCAATGTAATTGGCACTGACTTCCTAGCGGATGTTTACTGTTAGCGCAACCTGGATTTAGAGACTCATGGGGCACTCTAGAAGACGGAGAACACCCATCCGGCCAACATGAGTAGATTTTCTTTAGTGGAGTTTGTAAACAGTAATTTTAAAAGTTTGTTTTACAATTTACAACCCCTCCGCCCACCCACACCTCAAAAAGGGCATTTACAAAGCAGGTCTGTAGGTCAATGCCGCTATATGTTTAACCACATCTGGTTTTCCAACGTAGAAGATACTTCCTAAAAAAACTTCAACATAGTTTCTTGGATGTATCTCCTACACTGAAGACCTCTCCCCCTGGTGCTGCAATTACCAGCTGTCAAAATGACAGCCAGGAACTTCTATGAATTACACAGCAGGAGTGCCTGTCAAAATGCAACTGCTCCTGTTGAAATCCATTGCAACACTGCACATACCATTTAATTCATGTAGATCAAAGGTGTGACTTTTTAAAATAAAATGTATTCCTAGTTAACCCCTTATTATCTTTAATCAGAAGGGCAAATAACTAAAACCAGCACCCTATCTAGGAAGTCTAAAAAAAAACATATAATCAGAGGCTGCTCGTACAAAGTAGATAGAATAAAACCGATTTTTATGTTTCACTTTGGATAAAGGAGGAATGGCTAAAAACCTCGGTCAGGTTTTTATCACGGTCTGTGTCTCCACTAGGGAGATTCAATCCTTTCTATTTGTTCTGCTGATCATTGTCACTGGACTGGGTGAGGGTAAATCTAAATTCTGTTATTTCTGGAAAAGGAATAGAACAGAAATCTTCTAATAAAAAGAGGTATCAAAGAGAAAAGAATATCACAAAACAAGGCAGAATTTTTTAGAGTGGGAACCGAAGAAACTTACTGAGCAAGTGCAGACAGGAGGTCATAATGCTTCATGGTTTCTGACAGGGTGTCAATAGCTGACTCTAATGTAAGAAGAAGTTCAATGACAAAACCCTAGAAAATACAGAAAAAACAAATCATCACTGCTTAGTGTATTTGAGATGGGAAACAGCTTGTATGTGTACAGTAAATAAGATTTACAAAAATGGTAGAAAATGCCTAGAAGTGTACAGTACCACTGAATTCAGTGGCAATCAGAAGAAGCGCTGAAAGGCAGCATGCTGTCGAGGGGTCAAGGTCCCATATGTTACAACCTTCCAGTAGTGAAACACAGAAATAAATAAAATGTACCTGTGCTTCTTCCCCAGCATCTCCCACGGTCTCTACCAGCCTGGAAAGAACATCTGATAGGGTCTGAGCAGAGAGAGGCTGCTTGAGGGCACGGAAGATCTGAAACGACCTTCCAGCATAATGGCGAGATGAGCAGGAGAGAGCAGTCTGCAGTGCCACCTCACTGAGATGGTGCTCGAGCTGAAACCCTACAAGACAGGATACAATAAATTCCACTGTTTAAAACAGAGACCTATGCATATCTGACATTCTGCATTATAACGACTTAAATGCACATAAAGAAGGCGAGTTATAAAGCTGGTTCAGCTTGGCCCAATATATGCATATTCCATATCTGAACTGCCCACAAGGATCCTGTCAAATACTGTTTTTTTTTTTTTATTATTAATGAAAGGTGTTTTCCGATTGTGATGTCACCACCCCTTGTCCAACCAGAGAATTCCTTGCATTCACTGATAAAAATACTAAGCATTTTTTAGAATGGCCACTGTGTCTAGCGAGGGACCCCTTGTGTTTTCAGAGCAGAGGGAAAGCCTCTCAGAATGGCACCATATGGGACCCAGAAAATCACTGTCCTCATTGGGGTAGCTGCAGCTACTACAGTGCTTTACAGGATCCTTGTGGGCTGATCGGCATGGCATATGCATATTTACATTGGACCAATCTGGAAGAATGTAAGCATGCAGAATACATTATTCCTTGGGATCAGCTTTAAAAAAAAACTACAAAAATAAGTTTTAGATAGAACTGGCAGCTAGCTGTAAGGTGAGCAAGTGTTAGGAGTACCTCAAATCAATTTACTGGTTGTAATTGCTACTGATTTTTTCTTAGTACTATTTTCTTCATGAATTCATTTAATGTTATATATTTGTCTCAAAATCTAAGAATGTAAACACCTGCAAAATTTGAAGAATGCAACATGACAAAATAATGCAGCCACTTCAAGAAGCCCTTAGACTTAGAAGTTACCCAGAATGTTTCAGAAGCAAACCTATACGAAATATCTGATCAGAAATCTGTATCTCTCCAGACTTACCTGATCTACAGTGCTTGAAAACAGAGACCACGTGTTTTAAAAATGCTGTAAGTTGCTCAGCACTCTTAATACTGGGATTTTTTGCAGAAACATCTTCATGATTCCACAATGGTCCTCTTTTCCTAGAAGACAATCCAGGAATTAGGTCACAAAGAAAGGGTATCAATTAGCTAGCATACTGACAAGCATAGGAAAAGCAATATACGTACCTTGATGTAATGAACTCTATGAGGGTTTTCACCTTCTCATCTTGCTCTACAGAGAGGTCCACCTCATTGAGGATAGTGGTTTGGAGGTGGGGAACAGCAGTGCTTGTATTCCCTAAGCTTATGCTTGAAGAGGTAGAACTTGAGCTGAGCCCTGAGTCCGTCATAGGGGAAGGCTGGTATTCTGGTATAAAGTCATGGATACCTGCAGATGGGAAGCAAGCATTGCCTTCTTTAAGCATACATCCATATAGAAGCAGCTTGCTTGTAAACATAAAACATTTAGAACTTTTTTCCCCTTCTTTATGTATAACACTTTGGTGTTCAGAGGTCATTGAAGCCTAGATGCCCAAGCCAAGTTTTTCAGTGCGAGTATTTTTTGTTGCTTAAATCACCTATACGACTAATTTGCAGACCTGAATCATTTTTAAAACCCTGCTTTGATTGTTATTGCAGACTAACAAATGTATACATTTATTTTATTTGTGTAATTAGGCCGAGAGGCTCATAGTGGTCACATTATCAGAAATCACTCTGATTAGCTCTCATTAGCAGAAGCCAGAGCTGTCAGTGACCATCTGATTTGACAGTTATCTGCTGCAAACAGTGTTACATGCTAGCTGATAATATGGGATATAAAATAACATTCCCTAAAAGCATGATGCATTGTGAAGGGGAAGGCCAACGTACAGATTGTGGATGGTAAGCAGTTAAAGTAAACTTGTGGAAATCCTGGCCAAACTGCACATATGATTTACCTTCAATACAACCTGCATCAAAACAATCAGTACACCTTGAAATGTAGGCAGCTAAAGTTGTATGAAAATCTTGGCTTTTCTTGTAAAAGCTGAGCCCTACCCTACCTCGTCAGTCTTTCTATTGGTCAGTGAGGTCGCATTGAAGGACCAATAAGGAGACATAAGAGGTTTGGCTCTATACTTCTACATACTAATTTTGCTGCCTATAACTCTGGAGATCATCTACTGATGACTTTGCCATGCATTTTTAACATAAGGTAACCTCTACTTATGCATATTTTTACCATATGCTCAGCCTGCATTGACCTGGTGTTTGACAGATTCACTTTACAGCAAAATATTAAATAATGATTCCAGCACAGTTAATGGAACTGTAAAGAAGAGTATGAGGAGAGGGAAATGTGGGCAGAGAGCTCCAGCAATCCCTATTTATGAAGAACACTGCTATAAGACATGCCCTTTTAACATCTCTGTTTTCCCTCATGGTGTCTTGGGTGAAGATGCCAGATTTACTCTTCACATTATGTCCAATAAACGGTTGCTAAAAAAGAGCACCATTTTTATGGTAGACAGCTGCAGACAACTGTACATTGATGACTTCTGCGATTTCCCTTCACTTTGGTAAGACTGTATGCCATGTGACAAGGGCCGGAACAGAAAGGAAATCTCCCCAATAGGGGCACCGACAGTAAACACCTACTGTAAAATGAGTTTTACCGCTTTCCCACTTAAACAATACAAACTAAGCTTTCATTTAAATAGAAATGAACCCATCATGGTTGACATTTGGTAATTCTGTCGCACAGCAAGGCAATGCATAACAGAAGTAATGAGACAAGTTATGCAACAGATTTACTACAAGGTTACAGCTTGAGTCATGCAATTCTCCCTTTGCTGCTCTTAAGTAGCACTGAGACAGAAAAAAACTTCGCCCTTGCCACTTCTGAAAATGTGTCTAATCTCCAGTGCCAAATCTGTCACAGAACTCTGCAAACTGACACACTTGGCTACCTAGGAATACAGGCGCACAGACCCACATTTTCACTGTAAACATGTTGCAGAGACTTTGCTGATAGGAGAGGCAGCCTGATTTGTGATTAATTGTGTGTTTACGTTGCTTGATAAATGTCCCTGGATATCTCTTACCTGTGAAGGAGTACTCCAGATGTGCATTGCTTTTGACAGTCAGCACCCGTGGCTCATTACATTCCCTGTTCCTGAGGAGGATAGATGCCACACTCTGCACACTGCTGTTGGGTCCCAGCACGATTAATAAATGTAGCAGGAGGCGCTTACAATGCTCGTACACCTCAGGGTGGTAGTGATCAAACCCTATAAACAATAAAATATAAATTGTATATGTTTTACATGATATTTTGTCAGTAGATCTGCTGATTGTTCCTAGAAGCACATATGTAACATAAGTAGAAGAGACAAGCATTACCAATGAAGATGGCATGTAGCAAGAGATGCAGGTATCCCCCCCACTCCACTTTCACACTATGATCAATGATGAGGTCTGTCAGAAGGATTACTGCGATGTTGCACCTAGATGGAAAATGAATTCACCAATTATATATTATGTCAGAAACATAATATAGATTAAACATACAATAACAGTTCTTACGGCCAGCCAATAGCACTAATATGTTATATGATAAGTACCTATGCAAACACGTGCCAGGAGATGTGGTTTCTGGCAGATAATCCACAAGAGGTGACCAGCAGCCTCCTGAGGGTGGAAAGGGTAGTGGTTCTCCACGGTTGTATTCCATCACTTTGAGACGCCAGTTTGAGAACAAGGGCATTGAGTCACCTGCAACACAAAAGGAATACTAATGTAACTACAGCTTAACTCAGATTTTCAGTGATAAATGAAGAATAAATATAGCCACTGTTTTTCCCATACAACAAAAGGTTCTCCTTATTGTATGCTCTTTCTTCTGCTCCTGGAATATTATCCCACTTAAAGCATTTTGTCTGAAAAAAATTATAGAAGGGATTTGGTCTCCAGTTTTTTCAATAAACTCCAGACAGGTATTCAATCAAAGGTTTTTCTTCATAGTCTGTAAACATCGGAACACATCCCCATCTTTTGTATTAAGGGCGGTTTGTCTGTTAACTGTCACTGAGCTTGTGTACACTCAACAGGGGCTAAAACAATGTATTTTTTATTCTGATGTCCGATTTAAATCATACCATATGAAAATACAACTAAACTAGGCAATGCTACTGCACACAGTTAAATGGCTGCTGACTGTAAGGCGATTACTTTTCTCTTCTTCGTAGGATCCTCCAGAACTACTGCTGTACCGAGACTCCAGCCTGTGGTGCTGACGATTCAGGTTGCTATTCAGGCCGCTGTAGATATCAAGATGGGGATAACTGTTGAAATCAACAGACACTATTAATAATTTGACACCTTTAGGAGTTTTGCTTTATTTTATGTAAAAATCAAGAGAAGCTGCTCTAAAAACTATCACTGTCAAATCATCATCTTCATAACATATATGAACAGCACTTGTTCATATATGTTAAATAGACACTTTGCAAGCTACAATGTCAGTGCACTGTAGTCTGGTAGGTAGAAACAGGTTTTAATGTACGGCATATGTGTGTAAGGAGGAACGACCAGCATAAACAATAATGGCAGCAAATAAAATCCGTTAATCTACATAATGGAAAACACTTAAGAAAGCCAGTCATGAGAAATAATTCAGGGGCTGCCATTGCTGATTCACAGACGTTGTCTGGTGCAGTCTGCTCACAGTACATGCCAAGGCTCAGGGAGATAAGGCAGCAGTTCCTTTACATTTTTTAATGCCATTGTGCAGCAGAAAATCAGTTACTATGGAGTTACTAGTTTTTGTACAGTAAGAAATTTAGGGGTCAACCAGTTTGTGTCATAAATATTACTACACTACCTGCACTAATATTATGTATGATTAGCAAGTGAAGCTTTGGTTTCCAACCTATAACAGTACATATGAAAATAATATCACAAGAACTAGTCTGAAATATAGGTCCACATACATTTTATCAAGAAAATACATTTACAAGAAGCTCTTACTCCTCTATTGCCTGGCTACTAGAGCCATGCAGTGGTCACATTTTACTGGGAGTTGGCAGCTTCTACGTTATATCCCATGTGAAAGCCATAGGGGAAAAATGATATTACTGTCTATAGCCATCCAGCTAGATTATTACATAATCATCATATTAAGGAATTATCTTGGATTGCACTAGACACAGAAATGGAATTCAAAGAGGAACTGTCTTGCCTACTACAGAGTTCAGTTGTATATTAAAGGAGAACTATGGGGTCAGGGCTTTTCCCCATAGTTCTCCTATGGGTAACGGGAGGACACAAACTAGCGTCCTCCCATCACCCAAAGCTTAGTATACGGCGAGCTACAGCTCGCCGTATACTGAGACGCCGCAGCAGGAACGCATCCCGACAATTATGTCTGGATCCACCCAGCTGCGTGAGTGACAGCTGGCTCTGCCTATCCCGAGGCAGAGCCAGCTGTACCCGCCCCCTCCCCAGTCCGTTCCGCCAGTCAGCGCTGGAGGATCGGACAGGGGAGGGGGGAAATCCCTGCAGGGAGCCGTGAGTGACAGTCACGGCTCTCTGCACGGATAGATCGAGAAGTGAGCGAGCGACGGTATGTGTCCGCTCACTTCCCGAACTACTGAGCCGACCTGTGCCAGTTTCATTGTCAGAGGTCGGCTCAGATTATGAGGCTGAGTGAAAATCATAATTCTCCTTCATGTGACTGGAGTTGTGTTGCTGCTGAAGGCCCAAATTTGGAATTTACAATTGTTGCTTGATCTGCTCGCAAAAACACGTGACTATATATGCGCGTAGAACGCGTGTAAAAATGTGCAAAAAATGTGCAAAAAATGTGCAAAAAATGCACAAAAATGTGGTACACAAAAAGCGCTGAAAACGTGCATATTTGATGTTGCGTAGGTGTAAATGAGGGCTTGCACCAAGATTCAAAAGTGTGCTGTGAGGGAGCTGTAAGATGGAAGAAAGGCAACAATGACCATCCAAGCTCACCAGCCTGCAGTGATGTCTGCAGGTTTGGCCCTTTCAATGAAATGGACGTAACCTAAGAGTGAGACCTGAGATTACTATTTTCTGTAACCTGTCATCTGTTAACAGTTAAGTAAATGTTATTTTTCATTATATTTAATTGTGTGTATGTGTGCTATATTTCTTTGGTTCCATGCCAAGAGACTTCAATACCCTTTGGGTCACTGCAAATAAAGCCTTATGGTGGACAGTACCAGGGAATTAAAGAACTCTCAATAAAGAGTCAAGCACTACATTGGTGGGGTTTTTTTTATTTCAGGTCATGAGATCAAGTACCAGAGAGCCACAATGGGTTAGTTCCCTGGCAAAGCAGTGTTAAATAGGGGGAATATTCACTATTTTCATAGAGGTGGGAAGGTGGGTGGTTATATGAACAAATTTACTACGTTACCCTTTGATGGACAATTTTGGCTACATTTATATGGAAAAAAAACACTTGCTCATTTTATAGACTCCCCGTGCTTAACAGTCAGGCATATATGAGAGCACTCAAAAATATCTGTATGTGATAATTCCTCTTTAGCATGTCAGACCCAAGCAAGTTTGAGTTAGGCAAAACTTTGCTCCCTTGATGCAACAGGATCTACCCATATGATCGGTTTCCCTATGTGTGAGCTGGGCTGTCTAATAACATGATGATATGGGCACAGATTTAGGTCAGATGCTAGATAGCCAGACCCTTCTTTCCCATTGCAAGTAAAAAAAAAAACGTATTTTATCATTTGAAGGGCTCCACATTTTACAAGCAAACTCTGCTTTCCATTAAAATTACGTTGTTCTTAAAATTAAGCTACATATAAATAAACTGCAAAATAAGGTTCTATGGATTAGGAAGAATTATGTCACATCCCACCATTAAGCAGAAATTTTAGGTTAACATTGTCCATTTACAGTTTTTCTAAATGGCTTATAGTATTTGCTATATGATTTCTGATCTTTTCCATTAAATATACACTTATACCAACCCCAGGAATTGTTTAAGTCCCATACCAAAGCATCTGCCATATGTGAAAGGAATTACTATGTGGCCTTTTTCCCCTGATTTCATGCCTATTTCACGCTGGCTTCTGTATTTTAACTCCTATAAAGTCTCTACATATTTTGTAGAATGACACTAATAGTTCAGTGCTATTGTTAGAAACAAAGCAACCTATTCAATACAGTAAATATGTGGGACTTTGTTGTTTTTAACAAGTGTGAAAAAGTTTCATCAACCAATCAGATTGTAACTTTCATTGCTCCAACTCAAGTAGGACCTTTAAAGGGAGATTATTATTGGTTACTAATGTTCTTTTAGGTGATTGGTGGGGTTTTGTTTGAGGTTTTTGGTACATCACTGAGATACTTTAATTATTAAGCAAAACATCCAGTGTGGTCGGCTACATCTCTTTCCACGATTCACTTGGCGCTTACTAAGACTGAAATGCACCCTTTGATTTGCCTTCTTTGGGATTTGTACAATTCCCAGAGACACTAGCTTCGATACTTTCGGCTTCAATACTTTCAACTTCCATCCTTCTATCTCTCCCTGCGACGCAGGGGCCATCATTCCGCGCCACTGTAGATCTCTCACCCCCCCCAATCTTTCCGAGAACGGGTTGAGGAGATGCAATATTTCAGATGTATGACGGAACTAATGGCGAACCATTGTCAGTTTTATGAAATTTGGAGTCCTTGGATGTATTAGAGTACCTCTATGCTATTTGGGGAACTGTTGGACCCAACTAGGTTGTTCAAATATCTTTGTCTCAGGGGGCAAGCTGGAAACCCCCGGATCTGGTGCCCTTTCCCCTCTTACAGCCCTGTTTTGTTGTCTTTGTTCCCCTTTTCTATATGTACATGTCTCGTCTTTCCTTCTCTTGTTTCCGCAGCTCTCTTGCCATGGTTGCTTGTACATTGTGGGCACTATACTGTCATCATTAGTTCCCTACTGGAGGACACTTTCTGTTTTACAAATATCAGATTATGAGATGTGCCATTTGCTGTGTATCTGCACTGTTTTTATGTGGGGACATATAAATGGTGTGTGATGTGGGGAGAGATCTGAATTATATGTCTCTTTTTCACTATTTTGTATGAAAATTATTTAAAACAAATAAATATGATCTTAAAAAAAATAATCCAAAAACCTCACTTACTTATCATCAGCACCATCCCTTGCATGTCTGCTGTCCAGATTGCTATCAGTTTGAGCTACCATTGTATTGCTGCTGGATGTGGTTCCTGGTAAGATGTTAAAACTCAGTTATCAACTGCACTAAACAATTACTATATTAATATTGTAGCTATGTACAAACATTTTAAGCTCATGAATGTATACTAAATAATTATTTATTAAGGACTGCAAAGTGCCATATCCGACAGCATCCAACTGAAGTTGTCTGAAATTACTATAGTAAACTAAAACCGGACTGCACTCTGTACGTAGTCAGTGCACCTATAAGCTTGTAAATATGAGGTCTGTCTCCATACCAGCAATGGTAAGTCAAGGTGTTGATCATGGAGCACCATTATTCAGTGGCCTTGGTGAAGGATGACTTTTTTTTTCCAGTTTTTTGTCTGTCAGGAAACAGTCAATGCAGTGTTGGCAGCAAAAGTGCTGTTAATCTCCAGATTAATAGAAGACACATTTTAGTGAAGTATACCAATTAGAGGATGGAACAATTAGAACACTATAGTGAGGAAATACTGTATTCTGATAACTTTATAGCAGTCACTTTTGCTGGGCAGGCAGATAACACTGAAATCTATCTTAACATGTATAAACCACAGTTATCAGCATACAGTATTTTCAAGATAGTGATACTTTAAGGATACCACCATAATAGAATATGAACAATGCCGGTCCCAGTGGAGAAACTATATCTAACTAGTATATTTAGTGGATCTCCTTTAAAGACCAAATGTCTAGTAGACCTGTTTGTCTGAGAATGAACACTGTGGCTAGATGGCAGGCAGTGATGGTGCTCATAGGTTTATAAAAGGAAGCTAATGGACTTTTTGTTGACTAATTTGCTCTTACCTGAGGTGACGGAGGGTATTTTATAGCTTGAAGTGATGCGGTAATATGGTGGGTTGTCCATATGAGTTACTCCAGAACTCACAGGATCTGTTAGTTGTAGTTCACTAACCAGTTCCTCCAGTAGCTGCATTGTCTTATCTCTCCCCAAATACACAATCACCTTCTTTACCTAGGGAAAATAATTGGAATTTTTGTAAAAGTGATTAGTATGCATTATTGAAGTATTCTGAATGCTGTCCATCCACTTCATGAAGAAGCTTCATAATAAGTCGGATGGCTCAATACAGACAAGTGATCAACAAAATATTTCCTTTGAATATCTGCAGAGCCATTGGGACCTTGTAGTCACTGTCATCTTGTATTGCTGAACACAGTAGTTGCCGTTGAACATCAAAATAGCATAGAAGATGCATCATGGGTGCTGGATGTTTAGGCACCTCACACAAAGCCGACTGGATGATTTTAAAGGCCTGCGATACAGTTGTCATTTCATTTACTCTAGTAATAAAAGTTAAGCTTTACATGATCAAGCTGGAGCTGAGAAATACTGGGACTATATACTGGGACTATAGGTGCTAAATTCTAAATATTTTGCTTTCATTTTCTTTTATACTAAAGTGTAGGCATCAATCTCTTCATCTTTGTACTGTACAAGTGTGTTTTTTTTCTTATGCTGTATGTAGAAATATCAAAAATTTCAGCATGATCCAAACTCAGGTCACATACAGCCAGTGAAGTCTAGGTAATAATACTTTACGACTATTGGCTAGAACTAATTTGATTACCTGTTGCTCTGTTTGTGACATTAAGAACACAAAGTAAGCAACCTACTGAAAGTAAATTCCTTTTTTCTATATTTCGACACCAGTCCTTACTAGGGATGCCTCGAAAAGGAATTTTTAAGACCGAAACAGAAAATAACAAATTTATCTTGCCGAAACCGAAATTGATGTTTTTTTCCAACCTTTTTTAAATATTTTTTTTTAATTATTTGATATGATCTGACAACAGTAAACCTAAATCTGATTGGCTACTGCATGTTGCTAAGGCTCATTAAATTAGTCCAATTCTATAAACAAAAACAACCCACTTGCAAGACTACATGAATATCCAAACAACTTTTAAATAAATACTTACATAAGGCAACAGGCTGGGTTCACTGTTCACACCACAAATGCTTATAAGAAAGTGCAAAATAATTTTCAGATTTTTTGGCCAGCCATCTGCAAGAGTGGTCCACACATTTTCAATTTCAGACCAGGCCACCTCATCACCATACTGAAAAAAAAACCCAAGACGATTTTATGTAACACACAGACCATGGCAACTAGTATATACTATATGTATATCATCAGTACAAAGATATATATATATATATACATACATATACACACACATATATATATACATATACACACACACACACACACTAATATATGCAGCAATAAATACAATTAGTATTGTTAGCTCTCCATTTCTATTAGTTTGTGTTTTCCAAATGCATGCTTTGCAATTCCTAATTTCAAAGCAAAGAGTACATTAAGACATATGTCTAAGTACATAAAGGCATCCAGGAAAGTATTTGCTTGACTCTAAGATGAATTTGGGTTACAGCATGCATGGCTGTTGACGCTACACCTCTTCTTCACTTTAGCAACACCCTCTCCCCCCACAATGTGGCCACCCACCCACAATTTTAGCTGAGCCTGAGGGTGTATAACTGGAGGATTTAAAAGCCTAATTGGTGAAAAACACATCTAAAACATTGTTCATTTTTTCAAATAAAAGTTATAGTACTGCTTCTCATGTTAATTTTTATAAAAAAATACGCTTATTAAGTCACGCTAAGATTTTCTAAAACTGCTAAAAATGATGCTTGTTGGTAGCTCATGGATAGTTTGTATACAGAACATCCCATCTCACTTCTTGTTTCTGTGATTGATATTCTTCTTATAAGTCTCCACAGAGTTTGGGTTATAAGCAGTATGTATTTTATCTTTGGTATTTAGTTACCTGTAAATCTTAATAGGTGCCAAGGATGCAATACTTCTTTTTTATAACATGTTTGCACACCATATAGCTGTGTGAATGACATTTTCAGTGCATTACTGCCATGCATAGGAAATCCTGCTCTCCTCTGGCAGTAATTCGCTGCAAATACTGTTCACACAGCAATATTCTATGCAAACACGTTATAAATCAGCCCCTAGGACATGTCAAGTCATCATAGCAGACAGACCCTTGCAGTTAGTGTCTCAGAGCTCAGTAACTCCAGAATAAAAAACAGGTAAATTATTTTCTTAAATTCCCTTCGTATGTATACATAACTAGTCTGGGAAGGAATTTGTTTCCCTCAAGAAAAGTGAAGTTCCATTTTGTACAAAATGTAACCTTTACCAGTAAGAAAACTTATAACAGTAGACACTGTGACTTTAAATGAAAATAAAGGTAATATGGGTTTTTGCCAGGTAACTATACCTTTGCTGTCATATACAGCAAGTTATTTAAAACCATAGCAGTGGCTTGCGGCGATCCCCATCCTTCTCCTCTCAGCCAGCGCCTGCTGTTGACCATCACATCACGATCTTGCAGTGACTCTTCAACCTCATCTTCATGTCTTCGCACAGTAGGCAAAGGCTTCAGATCTACCAGCTCAATGTTATTCATCCATGGTAGCAAATAGTGAAGCATCACCTGTCGACCAGCAGGGTGCGCTGTTTGTATTCTCTGACTGATTTCTGCCAAAGTGAAAATAAAGCAAATGTTAAAAAGGTAAAAGGCAAACTTTATTAAAAGTTGTATTACACAAATAAGGCTCTGCAGCACACATTCTTACAGGTTTACTTTATATGTTAAGGTTAATTAATGCAATATAAAAAAATGTGAAACTAATTTAATTAAAAGGAAAAAAAATAAAAAATAAATGCACAGTAGAAAGAAAATGCATGCAAAGTATGGTTATCTGAAACTGGCAATGAATATGTGCTGCCTCAGTCTATTCCCCTTAGCATGTTAGTGTGTAATCCACACAAATAACAGAAACATACGCTGCAGCTTACTGATATAATACAAATAATGTGTATAATGTAAAATATTAGGAATTGGTAAGAGATGCAGAAGAAAGCGTGTATGGTATATCAACATATTGCAGCGCACATGTAATGTGTGCTGACTGGGTCATGTGCCACCGTTGTGAATGGAAGAGTCTGTATTAATATGCATCCACTCTTCTATGTGCAAGGGTACAAAGGTTCATCACTAAAAACCAACTACTAATACAGGAACCGTTGTCTTTATTATCAGGAGCACACCTGACCTAGAGGCAAAACCCTAAACGTCAGGGAGTCCCAAATACTTGGTGGCTTCCAATCAACACAGCTTCACCTATTGGTTGGTGAAGATGATGATTCAACCCCACTGTTGTGATAGCAAAGAACAGTTAAAGAACGCATGCACACAATGTGTATTGGCTGTTTCTATACCTGAAAAAATTGGAAGAGTAAGTTCTGGGTATGTCCGTGCTAGTTCTTCAGAAAGCTGGTAGTAAGATACTGAATACAGGTGTGGCAGCGAGGACGGGTGACTCAATATTCCATCTGTTCTGTGTACTTCCAACTTGTGAGCATATCGGAACATCTTGGGCTCCAAAATCTGCAACAAATAAATGTAAAGAACTGAACAACCTAATACAGTGTACATTAGGACATAACTAGGCAATTGTGATATTACAGCAACCTGAAACAAAGGAGTCAAAAATATAAACCCTACTAAAAGAAAAAAACCTGACATATTAAAATGCAAATAAAGATGGAAAATATCTATGTAGCGAAGAGATTTAATGACATGCAGGACAGGTTCAACATATCACAATGCCTGCATTGACAGTGGTTTACCCATAGCCACCCTGGAAGTGTATATCTCAATGATAACTGCAAACAGCTGTATTCGATTGGCTTCTGTACAGTTCTGTCAGTCCACAGTACAGACACGTACTCAGACCCTATGCAATTTGCACTAGCAATAATGTCCATTTGGATGCATTGAAAGTCTTCTGTTGCCAGCTAAACATGATTTCTCCTTCTATAATGAGGCAATGATCATGAACCTGCCATGAGATTTTGCTACTATCAGTTATAATGTTAGCTATCAGGCTCTCATGCTGACGATTTTGCTTTAATACTTTGAGTCACTGACCTGAAACAAACATAAAAATAACAAATTCTGACTTTTAGATGGTGCACCTTGGCAGCTGTGTCAGTGACTCTGAAATATGGAAGCCTGAGACAAGCCAGGAAACTTGCATTTTCAAAAGGAAGTCAGCAGTGGCTGATGCCATATTTAATTTATGACAGGTGCACTTAAATAGAGTTGTCTTAAAAAAAACAGTTTGAGTGAAAATTTGTGGTGGGTTTACTTGCTTGGTAGTCAGTACAAAGATGAACTTGCCTAGCTTTATAGTAAACCAATACTTCTAAGGCTTTATGGGTGTCCAAACCTCATCATCACTGCCCTTTGTTTAAAGGAGTTCAAAAACAGCATCATGGACTATATTTGCAGGTTTCGTTTAACCCTTCATAGAACAGGCCAGCTGTGCACAGAAGTGCTGACTGCTTGTGAACAGAACAGCTATTCAGAGCTGGGATCTGTTCAGTTTGTATTAACTTATTTTAATTTTTTTTAAATACGGCAACCATACAAACAACTGGGCCTAGTATTGAAGCGCCCCCGCAAGCATTATTTACTGCAACTTGCCTTTAATAGTGTCAGTCTAGCTCTGCTTGAGCTGTACTAAGAAAAGGGAGAAAGAGATGTGACTCAGCCATTTCCCTCTAAGTGCTGGTTCACACCTGGGCGTTTTTCAGCGCTGATCGAATCGCTGAAAAACACACAGCAAGGGAAATCCCATAATTTCCTATGGGCATGGTTCCCACCTGGGCGTATTTCAGCACGTAGAAATGCGCTGAAAAACGCCCTACGCCCAAACAAGTACAGGAGCTTCTTTTGGGGCGTTTTTCCACGCGTATCTATTGGTATTCCTTAGTGTGGCTCGGGGTTAACAAAGCGGTAACCCCGAGCCACACTCGGGAATACAGCGTAGGACTTACCTTGTCCGCGATCCCCGATGTGTCCTCCGGCCGCTGCCGTCCTCTGTCCCTTGCGAGCTGCCGTGTCACAGGGGGGCGGAAACGGCAGGAAGTTTGAAAGTAAAAAAAAACAACAAAAAAAACAACCTGAAAAAAAGATAGAAAATAAAAGGAAAAAAAATATCATACCGCCAGGGAGGTATAACAACGAGCATTTCACTGAACGAAAAAAACGTGCTAAAAAACGAGCTGAAAAAACGCACCTATAGTACGCCCGGGTGTGAATCCAGCCTTAAAGCCTCAATACACCGATTCATAATATCGATGTGAAGTTATTGCAACCTGGCTTTAATGGTGTCAGTCCAGCTCTGCTTGAGCTGTACTAAGTAAAGGGAGAAAGAGATGCGATTCTCCCTCTAAAAGCCTCAGTACATGCAGTATAATGATTCATAATATAGATGTGAAGAAATTGATGTGTGCTATTCAATTACACTTGTCCTCTTATGACCGTGTACAAACCTTTATCCAGCAAAAACTACAGGATCACACATCCATGTGGCCTAAGAAAACTCTCCTAGACAGACACAGGACTGTGAGATGATTCATTACAAAATTTTGAAGGAATCTCGATCACATCTTATGTACAATAAAAAGGTTTACAAACCTGCAGCAATTGCATAGCAACTTCATAGATATCTCTGGCAGAATCAGCCGCCTTAAACAGTATCAGATTAAGGAGTGTAACTGTGTCACACTGGTAATCCCTGGAAAAAGATTAGAAATGAGTTACCATGAAGAAAAGAGACACATTTATACCTATTTAATAAGGCAAAGAGCAATGGGCCAAGAGCCCGTGAAAACCAATCAGTAATAAAATATCATTGTTTTGATGGCTTTTAACTGAAATCTGATTGGTTGCCATCTGTTGCTATGCTTTGGATCTCCTCACTGGTCCTTGCACTGTTTCACCATATGTGTGTTTTTCACAAAGTAACAAGCCAGAGCATGTCAACAATACCTGTGCTGGAAAACACTTGCGATAGCTTTGAAGCAGCCTGATGCCACCCTTTTGGAGCCAGTGTAGCAGCGATCCACAGCCCAGTACATGAGGTTGCTCTGGTCAGGGTTAAGTTCCAGCAAAAGCATTACGGCTTCACATCCTAGCTGATGAACCTTGTGGAGAGATAAAGAAAACAATGGTTTGCTAAAAACAGCGGTATTACAAGGAGAACTGTCAAAGCCAAACTTGTAATATATCGGGTTTTTTTTAAACAGAAATTTTTATTGGTCTCTTTTTTTTTATTGTGAAAGAACTCTCAATTGATGACGACAATAAATAATCAATTCAGCCATGCTCACCCCTGTAATGTGTGGCACACCCGTCATTAGTTTTAGGGCATATTTAGACATTATGGAGCCCTAGTTGGCCCTGATGGTGCCCTTTTGCACGTCTTGCATCAAGTGATTATTCTAGTAAAAATGAATGCCAGCGTGTGCTATTGGAGGCAGGAGGGGGCCTATTTTATATGCAGAGCAACTTTTCAACTGTAAAGACCTCCAAACCATAAAGTAAAAAATGGTTTTAGCAATTCTTAACTATAAATGTCCAGAGGTGGCCAGAAAAGGAAAACAATAAAAAAGAAACATTTAACACAATTTGCGGCTTGGTGGTGCACCCCCTTGTGACACAAGGCACAGGACCACGTGTGCAATTATGGTATATACAGGCAGGATAAGTTTTACAAAAGACTTTTTGGAATGTATTGAAGGACAAAAAGCGCTTTTTGGCTTACTGTTAACAGAATTGTTTCTGACAGGGTAATTCACTAAGGGCCGGTTCACACCATATCTAGTGCATTCAGGGCACGGTTTGTGCCCAGAACACACTGGATTCCATAAGCTGGAGGTAGGAGGGTAGGGGGCGTGGTGGTGCCATTCATGACAATGGCACCGCAGACACACTCGCACAAGAACACGTGATATAGCAATGCCTGCGTTCCGGTGCGATTGCAAAAAATAGTGCATGCATTATTTTTTGCGATTGCACCACACCAGAATGCAAGGCATTGCTGTACCATGCATTCTGGTGTGGGCGTGTCTCTGTGGTGCCGTTGACATTAATGTCCCCACTACGCCCTGGATATGGTGTGAACTGGCCCTAAAGGGTGAAGAGTTTGGAGAAGGCAGGAGAAGTGAACAATCTAAAACAACATAGCTGAACTGGAAAGTGAGCGGAATTGGAGAATGTTTGCAAATCAGCTCTTTTGGCCTAGATTGTTCACTTCTCCTCCCTTCTCCAAACTCTTCACCCTTTTGTGAATAACCCTGTCAGTCTTTCTAAACAATATAAAACCAGTGAATTAAAACATTCATTTTGCAGAGAGAAAGATTTTGCTGACATAAAGTCTATTAAACCTTGGGCTACTGGTTATCAGAGGTGCATACATATTTAAAGCAGATAAAAATATTTCTGAAACAGACAGGAAATATGAGGTGATTTGTCACAGCTTTGTGATCCTTACACACACTTATCTGTGATTAAAATGTAAAGCTCATGCATTTAATACAAAGAGGGCTATTACACTGAGCCATGATAATACAGTGTCATAGCTTGGCATATAGTGCTGCACTGCGCTATTAGGCTAAACCTACCTACACAGTCTACTAAATATTAACTAAATGTTGCTACAAAGTAATCATTTTGTACTCACAACTTCTTTCCTATCCAATAATCCCAAATAAAAACACTACCAACTGCTAACAGTAGGCCTGTTTTAGCTTAAGCATTAAAAAGCCTGTTTAAGCTTAATGAGACCGATGGTACACAGCAATAAGCCAGACAGCAGTGTTAAATGTGCCCATACACTTCACTGTGCTGCAGGCACCATTGGGAAACAAAACAAATTCAGTGGACTTCTCTATGCTCTGATTCACCTTAGATGCTATGAGAGTCTTACACAGGACACAACAAGCTCTTCCCCAGCCCAATGTGACAGCCACTAAGCCTGGCAACTGGCAGTTTAGTCATCAAGCACTACAGGGGAGGCAGGAAAAGACCCACAGGTTCTCCTACACTCAGAAGTTCTAGATAGTTCTCATGGCTGCAGAAGGTAGTCTTAGTCACCTTATGGTACTCTGCAGCAAACCGGGTTCTTTTGACGATTAGAAACAAAATACAGGTTTGCTTTAAAATCCAATACCTGTTTCTCGACACTTGTGGGAGTGTATCTGTGCATGGTGCCTGTAGATTTCCAACACATAAGTAATACATTAATTTAGTAAACGCCTTTCATTGCCCCTGCATGGCACACAGCTGTTTAGTCTGCTGCGTTGCTGGTATTTCCATATTTGAAAAAGTTTCAGGAAGTCACAGACAGCAAACTGAATGTCTTTTCCATGTGTACCAAAGGCATTAAGATTGCATCAAACGCACATAGATAAATATGCCCTTAATGAAACCACATCCATCTGTCTTACCTTTTTGTCTTGGGAGTCCAAAATGTTATCCAGCCATTTGTATAAATATCCATCGGGTGACAGACCCACGTTGTCAGCAACAGGACCACAACATAACACAGCAGACATTGCCTGCAAGGGAAACAGAACACTGTTTTTACCAGTTCACACTTTATACACCATACTTCCTGTGCACTATAGCATTATTACTGATATACCATGGTATTTTAGGAAAAATCCTAAACCAGTAACTCCTCAAACAAAAGATTTCTCCCAGATATAAAAAAATTAATGTCGTGATGTATTAATAAACAATTCAGTGTATTTTTACATGCAATTAGTGTGCTTGAGTTTCTCCGGATATTAGCCTTCTGTAATCCTCCCTACGCAGGTTTTAGAGTAGAACAGGGAAAGTCGACACTAGAAGCCAGTGGAGATGTGCTGACATGCAATGCCATATCACTTCAGCAATAGGTATGCCTATTGGTTCATGATCTCCCTGGAGAGGGTCCTAACTTAAGTTGGCCATATATGGAGAGAATTTCAGCAAATTCCTGATAAACCAGTCAAAATTTGAGCAATGGATAGCACTGTTGGCACTCCTCAACTTGACAAAACTCGATTTTTTAATTGACTTTTGCCGCAGGAGCAGTCCTTAAAATCTGCATCCAATCAGGACTGGGTATTCAGTCGATGAAACAGTAGCTGCTGAATACCATAGCTGGTAGTGGGAGGTTTACACATACACGCCAGCTCACAGACTGAAAGAAATAAAATCTATTATTGTATTTACAGCCTCAATGTCCTAGGTACTGAGCAGTGGAAGGTATAGAGCCCTAAAACATCCCTATACCATGTGGTCACTTATACCCCCTTGTCTTTTTTGTACACCTGTAAATTAGTCCAGAGATTATGTGCCTGCTGATTGATTATTTTAAGCAAATTGGCTATTACTACACTACAGCCTATTAAAAAATATAAATCAGGTTTTAGGATTGGAATTGAGCGGCAGATAATTCTTGAATAAAGCAACACTGTACAGGGCTGGTTGGATCCATGCCTCAATTATGGCTATTATCATCACTGACCTAGAAACAGATGTGCCCTGACAATCCGTCTCTATAATCCTCTCACTGCTGGAAAAGCACTCTGTACTAGCTAAACTACAGCCCTGCAAATGAAAGCCACAATCTAGTGCTGAATAAGAGCAGGCCTAGGATTAAACATTTCACATTTATTATGCAAACTCTGGAAATACTGTATGTAAGGCCCAAAGATTAGAAAGAATACAGACTGGATTGGTCATCAGAATGATATGCATGTTAAGTTCAGATATTACTAAAACAATATACACATACCTTTAAAGCACAGTACTGATGTCTGTTGATCTGCATGTTCCGGTCACTATATCTGTCCAAAGGGGTAAACATTATGCTGAATGGTCCAGCCCAGTGGCTGAATAACATGAAAAGGCTGTGGCGTAGACTCTGCTGAGGAAATATACTTCTTCTCTGGTGCACTGCAAACAACATTGATTACATTCATTTATTATCCCAGTAAAAACTAACAGAACACTCCAACTGATATATAAATCCCCCAAACCACACCTGTTACTAGTATCAGCCTCTATATACATTAAAATGTATTTCCCTTATACAGCCAAATTGGGATGACACCTACATGTGTCACCATGTTCCCATTCACATAACATAAAAACAATATTTCCAAATTGAAGTTAAACTTTTTTTGATGTTTCTGCAAACCATTGATGATGGTGTTTCTGCAAACCACAGGACTGAAAAATCCTGCTTAGCTCTCATTTTTCTTAGTACTAAGCACTATAAAGGGACAGTACATCAAGCCTCTAATATTAGAAAAAATACCATCATTATTATTATTATCAAGTCAGATAAAGCGGAAATAATACCTGGAACATTCTGAATAATATTCGCCACTAAGGCACTAAAATGGCACCGGATATCTTTCAGGGTATCAGAGTCCTTCTCATTCTCTGCTTCCAGTAATTGTCTGGTTAAATCTACGTACTCAAGAAGAGTATTGTTCAGGGAATGTGTTTCATTATCCAGGCCTCCACTTGCACTTGAAAAGAAGAGAAAACATATTAGGATACTAGAAATACACCTTTTACACACAGGCACATATAAACAACATACAGGTTGTTGCCTGTAAGATCTGCACTGCCGTCTGTTTTAAAAAACATGGCTTATTCGGCATAGCAGAAAGCTCAGTGATAAATAAGCAATAAAAGTGCCTACATTTTAAACAGCACAGCATTAACATACGCAAGCCACTGTGGTTTTGGGTTTGGAATGTATTCAAAAAGAAATGACACTGGAACACTGAGATACCTGTGCTTTGTTCAATGGGCTGCATTCTGTTTTAGCTGATCATTAATTTATGTCTAGTTCTTTTCCTTCTCCCATCACCTTTAGAAGGATATGCTGTCAAAACTGTTCATTTTTATTAAACTTCCAACAGACAACCTTTAAAGCCATCAAGGATTATAAATCAGAATCAAGACATTTGACTCTAGATACATTGCAGGCTTTGTTTATCGACTTCTAGAAGCAACTCCACAGCAACCCGTTACAATCTGCACTGGAGTATCATGAAGGTTTCGGTCTGATTAGTTGATGTGGGATAATATATATTTCTCTAATTTTAGACACCTAAATAAGTATGATGCTGTGAGCCTAAATACCTGATTATTATTAAACAAATACACAATGCTCAGATTTAAACAAACTATATTTTCATTCACATGCATGCCCAGGTGGTCGATGGAAGGGTGAGTGGGCAGACATATTGGGATTAGTCTAATTTCAGAGAAAATTATAATGGTGGGCCAGTCACTAGTGCCTCCGATAAACAATACCAGGGTGCAACAACAGACAACTGTTTGCTGTACTGTGCAATAATCTTCTCATGTTTATGGGTACATCGTTTACAGATAAAAAGTGAGTTATACTGGAGATATAGACAAAAAGTACAACAATTACACTTAAGGCTGAAATCCACTTGTACACATTAATCTGCACAATAGCAATATTTCTGGCACAGATAGTTCCATTCAGCAAGACCTACCTGTGACTGATGACACCAGCATCTGCCAGCAGTTCAAATATACGGACCAGTTGTACTCGTAAAATATCTCGACGCCTGCGCCGCTTCATGTTCTGCAGGAAAGAAAGGGAGCTAAGTCGCTACTTTTATAATAAAAATGCATTTTAGACATCCATCTGCAATTATAAATGAACACTAGCATACATTCAGTATAGTGAAGCTTTAAATGTTAACTGTACTAAAAGAAAAGTTATCCTTGAAAGTGACACTAAACTCAGGTGTTAAATCTTAAAACTGAATTCAAGTACCTTAACTAGTAACAAAATGTAACTTATTTGTGTATCACTCGGCTGTAGATCTTCAAATCATCTCTGAATTGGTGCCGACACTGTCCTTCCTTCTGGAGGGTGGCTACTTTTGTTCCCCATGGTCCCTGTGTGTGTTGTAAAGTAGCCACCGCTCCAAGCTCACTCCTGTGATGGACTACAATCTTGATACAAATAAGTACACTAAATGTGAGATTGTAGTCCATCACAGTGAGGTGGGAGTGGTGGCTTCTTTACTCCCTACAAGGAAAAACTGGATATTTCCCACAGCTCTCAGCCTGGAATAAGGAGACTTTGGAAAGTTGTACCCTTTCAGGCCAAATAAAGCACTACAGCTACTAAATTCCTGCTTTAAGAAATTGTTATTTTGCAGGTGACTGCCAAAACAATTTATTCAAATCATATGCAGTCAGTTAGGCCCTTCAACTACAAAGCAGTCAGTAGATCTAAAGGAGATTGTAATACTGTACTATAATACTATACTACTATACTATACTATAATGTACATTGTGTGCTTAAAATACATTCAATCAGTCCTCTAGAATAAGCAACTACAATGCTATAAAAGACACATACATGTAATTGCAATATTGATTTACTTCTTTTTCTTATAAGAAACCACACTTATCAGGTCTGGTAATTTTAGCATAAAGGCAGAAGATACACTGCACATGACACTTACTGTCCATGTCCACTTACTGGCAGGACAAACAAGCACTGGAATGGAGCCAACTTAAAAGTAAATGAAAAGCTTAAAAAGCCATGTTTTTCACCATATAGGACTTTTATCTTTTCATTATCAACAAGTTCAAGAAGGGACTGGATAGGTCAACAGGTAAAGCAGAAAAGACATTCCATTTTCTAAATTTGAATTTACAGTGAGAGCTGGAAGCTAAGCACGTAATATACACAATGCAGCGTTGACATGTCATATAATTACCTCTGGTCTTCTATCAAGTGCTTCCTTAATTATGGGGTGCAACTCCTCTATTAATTCCCTGGATACAAATAACAGATAGCAGTGTAAGACACCTGTAGTTCAAACAGCTGTTCAGACAGAAAACATTATGCTGTTTACAAAATATTTACAGGCACGGAATGTAATTACACCAACGTGACAGAACGCTCTAGTGCGTTTTGGCAATCTGCATCTCGGTCATTAATGAGCTACATCTTTTACATAGGACTTACACTTTACCCAATGGAAGAGAGAAAAATGCTAATCCCAGTGCAATACCCTTTCTTAACAATTTACAGTAACGCTAGTTAAATCACAGCAAGAGGGAGTTATTAAGGTAAAATAATTCAATTAAAAAGTGGGCGTGGAGATGAGAGAAATCACATATGAACATATCTAGCAAGATGGTCCATACACCCACACATGTCTTACCGGGAATGACAGGTGGTGAGACATCTGCCTGTCCTCACGTTACCATTACTCACCATAACCTTGCCATCAGCTTGGATGACATGCAGATTCAGTACATGTGCAGTGAAGGATTGTTAATCCCTCACGTCCCCCAAGGAAAAGGGGATGATCATGTGCAGTAACAAGCTCTTGTAAAAGTCAGAAATGCTTATTATTAACTGTATATATTAACACCTCAAACAGGCCAAAGCTAGATTCATATGTGTTATTCATGCATACGTGCATGCTAAGCAAGCTGTTTCCATAGTGATTTAAAGTCTAGCTCCGGCCAAAACTTTTTATTTTGTTTGGATAGAGTGGGGAAGGGTCAGAGTCTCTGTTATGTTTCATTGGTGTCTATGTCCCTATTATGGAGATGCCTCCCATTTTCTGTCAGGACAAGAAGTGAAATGAAATCTCTTCAACAGGGAGACAGACAATTATAATTTTAGGTACACTGGCTCTAAATCAAGTTGGCATGGGAAGCAACATAAGAGCTCCCATAACAAATGTTCTTGTTGCTGTACTCTCTTGAAATTTTCCATTTTAGAATGCTGCATCATCGGCCCAATTGTATGGGGTGTATACACAGAGAAAGTGCAGCTCACAGCATGATAGAGCCAATGGTCTAATAAAATCTTTTTTAGCCCCAACTCAGGCCAAAATGGTATTTTTAGTTTTGTATACAGTTGTGGGGGAATTACATTTGCTAGGGTTATTTTTGTCTTACCAGTCCCCATTGCACAAAAAATACATTATATATACAACAAAATGGAAGTCCCTGGAAGAGGGGGGAAGGCTTTGATGACCCCAGAATAATACTTAAAGAGCAAAAAGAGGTAAGAAAGGTCTGATGTTTAAATTTGCAAACTTTTTTCATTTGCCTTTGATATGTTAAAATGCTAAGGTGCTTTAATAGTGTGCTTTGTAATACACTTTCGGAATAAGGGTATATGAAATATCTCAGACTAGCCCGAATAACAACAGAGCTAATTTATTCAACTGTTGAAAGTTTAAATAGGAGAGCTGTCTACAGCAACCAGTCATGCTTTTACCCTTACATGTAGTGGAATGAGTGAAAATTGAAACTTTACCGGATGCTGTAGAACAGGGGTGCCCACAATTTTTATGTTAAGATATACTTTTCAAATGATGAGCTACATGAGATCTACCAACGGAAAAAAAAACCTCACTCGCTCTCTCCTGGCTGTCTCTCCTCTCTCTCCGCTCTCTCACCCCTGGCTGTCTCTCCTCTCTCTCTCACTGGGCGGTCTTTCCTCTCTCTCTCCTGTCTGTCTCTCCCCGCTCTCTCTCCTGGCTCACCTTGCTGTATTTTGCAACAGGATGTGTAAGCTAATATTCTTTGATGTAATACATAGCACTTCAACCACCAGAAAGAGAGGTGTCAGCGAACTTGGCTCAGCAGACTCAGGCGAATTGGTAATCATGTGTGCACAGCTAAATAAATATACCAATATGGAATAAAGGGGCCGCCATTCACACCCTTCGTGATCTACTGATCTACTAGCAGCAGCTTTGAGAGCTTCTGGTAGATCACAATCTACCTAATGGGCACACCTGCTGTAGAACCATGCGTCATGTTCTTTTCACCCATTATTTAAACTAGGCTCCTTTTTTTCACCGTAAAGCTCAAATCAAATGTACAACACTTTGCACTGTTTAAGAATTTGACCACAGATATGTTCGCAACAATAAAGCTGAACTCCAGGTATGAAGTATTATGCATGCTTACATTGGCCCAATGTTAATATGCAGCTAATACACCTTGTCAAGCCAAAACGACTACAGTGCTTTAAAGCGATCTTCCAGGGCCTGTATGGCGCTGTGGTGAGAGGCTGCCCCTTTGTTCTGGAAAAACAGGGGGTTATTTGCTCGGCACAGTGGCCATTCAGAGAACATCTAGTATTTTTTGTAAATCAATGAATACAAGCCGTTCTCCGATTAGGCAATGGTTTGTGATGTCACAATCTGCCCCTTGTCACAATCTGCCCCTTAGAGAAGGTCTTGTATTAATTGCTAAAAATATTAGACATTCTCTGAAAGGTAGCTGTGCCAAGCAAGCCGCAAGAGGGGAAGCCACTCAGCACAGTGTAATACATAACTCGGAAGATTGCTGTAAAGCACTGTAGTAGTTTTGGCTTCTACAGTGCTTTAGGGATCCCTGTGGTTCAACCAGTTATATCATATGCATATTTGCATTGGGCTGAGCGGGACCAATATAAGTATGTATAATACCAGGAGTTCAGCTTCAACTCCCTCTGTGTACTAAAAGCTTCATGCTAAACAAAAGACGTTTTTATGAGTTATAGAAACATGAAACAGTTTAGAATACATTATTTAGAACATTACTTCTGTAACAGTTTATCTGAGAAAGAAATAAGCAACTAACCTAAAAGCTCCAGGGTTGGTCCTGCCAAGGCCCAGAACTAGAGATTCTGTGATTTCCATGCTCTCAGAACGCATCATGGGTACTATGTGCTTGAACAGAGATGAGGTGGACGGATTGCCAATGATCTGGAAAATAAAATCAACATTAAATCCCATTTTCGCCCAAAAACAGCAAGAGACTGCCATTTTAGAAGAAAAAATATTTTACTTTAGGAAAGCAAAGGCTGAAATGTTTCATACTCCAGTCATAAGTATCTTTGACAAACAGATTCGAGTTGTTTGTTTTAAGGCAATGTAGAGTCTTCTGTATGTATTTTCTCTCTGTATTACTTTTAAGACACACCAGCTTATTATTAAGGAGATACTGTCACCAAGACACTGTGTCTTTGCAAAGAGACTGCCATGACCTACTGATACTCACCTTGCCATTGTTTCTCCATTCCTTTCTTCATCACAGGTGGCACTAAAATCCCGTGTCAGCAGGTCAACAAGGGGAACGTTAATATCACTCCCTCACTCTGCGACAGTGCTCAGGCCTAGCAATTGGCTGCTAGACCCCGAGCATGGTGACAAGAAGGACCGCTCTATCAGTATTAATTACAAAATTAAAATAATGAAAGTAAAAAACAACAACAAAAAAACACCAGTAGACCCCCTTAGGCCTTTACCGCCTCTCTGGAGAGCATTTTGCAGTAGATAATTTTTTCATAGGGTGGTAGAGCAGCGGCTTCCAGGCACTCATGAGGAAGACTCATGCCTCCTGAATGCCTTTTTATCCCAAAGGTGTTTTCACATGGAACTACCTGCAAATGTGTACCTAGTGTTCATCAGGCAATTGTGGCACGGTCCAATTTACATCAGTGGTTGCATTTGACTGGAGGCAATGCCTGCTGAAAGCGACATGCTGTCTAATTTTTGCTGCACCACAAGGCATTGTGGCCACAACAATTTGTACAGCACTGTCTGGCTGCAGTGCTAACTTGTCATCAGACAGCTGGAAAGCGGTAAAGAGAAAAAAAAAACTGTTGCCAAGTGATGTTGGTCAATCCGCCGCCACTGCTCAAGGAACCTCTAGAGAAACCCTTGGTGGTCACACCGATGTTACAGTGATCTGTTGATTGTGTGCTGCTTCAGCAGTCATGCAAATAGGTTTTTGCATGACTGCTGAAGCACTGGACAGTAACAGGTCATCAGTTCCTCAACTCTTTTAATTTATGAAAGAGTCCTGCCACTCAGCTTCCATTACTTCCAAAACCCTGATGAAGGGGAACTTTTGCAACCCCCCAAAAACACATTGGATGTAACCTCTTGTGCCAACTTGATTAAGGACTAATAAATGTATTTCTTTGAAGTATGCAAAAGCTTGGGTGGTGTTCACATTGTTTTTTTAGATGCTAGGTTTCTCCTCCAAGGCTTCCTCATGTACGTGAGCTGCTGCAGCCAGAGCAATGTGTTCCATGTTTCAATGTTTGTTCCATGATGAAACACTAAAAATAGTCAACAATTCAGCACTTCATATCCATATTGCAGAAATATAGGGTAGGTCTACAACATAGGCTACAGCCTTACCAAAGACTATTACTAGTGCCATCTATTAGATTATGCCATGTAAAGGTTGACTACAGGTTTTTTCATTTTAATTACCGTACTTTGTCATACAATATTTACACATATTTGTTCAATGGAATAAAGGGAAAATACATTAGACAGGAAAAAACTAAAATAGAAGAAACATAATGTAGACCACAAGTAGAACATGGACATGAAGAGTGGAATAATACTACACCATCAAGTATGTAGCTTACTTTTGGATCGATGCTGTATCCACTGTCTGGGGTAGACGCCAGCGTCTCAGGGGGGGAACATCGCACAGAACCAGTAGATGCTGAAGAAGATGTGGATGTTGCTGCACTGCAGCAAAGAATTAAGTAGTTTCTCCAGAGCCCAATGTAGGAATCGCTGCCGGTGACTGCAGTCACTTTCTTTGCATTAATGGGGCTGCTGTGAATTAATATATCCAAGAAAGCATATGCTTAGTACAATAAACAAACACCCTGTGTAATAAATACTGGCTAGTGATTCCTCTTTACTTGTCAGAGATCACATGCCTTCATTAAAGGAACTTTTTGAGCTGTAAATATGTGCAATAAAGTGAACCTCACCTAAACAGGCTGTACAAGGGGTCTCAACTTCCCTAAGACCTGGTTCACACCTGGGCGTTTTACAGCGCGTAGAGACGCGCTGTAAAACGCTCAGCATGTGAAAACCAATAATTGCCTATGGGCATGGTTCCCAGCTGGGCGTATTTCAGCACGTAGGAACGCGCTGCAAAACGCCCTACGCCCAAAGAAGTACAGGAGCTTCTTTGGGGCATATTTTCCACGCGTATCCATTAGGATACAGCCGGGTAGCCCTTGCAAATCACGGTAAAAACGCACGGCGCGATACGTGCGGCAAACGCGCATATTCCGTACGCCCAGGTGTGAACCCAGCCTAAGTCAAGATTATTCCCAACCCATTTAGTGTTTATAACCATCTTGTGTCTTCAAGTACTGATGCCTAGATGCTTAGGCATCAGTCGAGGCTCCATGTGCAACTGGAGCTTGGTAACCAAGTGGCTCCACAGTGACACAAGGATTAATTTGAAGTCTAAGATGTTAAAGCGGACCTTTACCCATATCTTTAACAACAAACACACCTTTAGAAATGTTTATTAATGACAACCTACAAACAGATAATTGCAGGCTTTGCATACCTTATTTCTCTTTTCTTCCCCAATCTTCTGACAGTGGCCATGTTTACTAAGTGAAGATTACTAGCTCTCCTTTTACTTCCTGGATTTTTAGCACATGTGACTAGACATGTGACTTAGACACGTGACCACGCACATCATCTCAGGGGAGGAAAATGCCTTTCCCCGAGATCTCGTGAGATTACAGATGAGATCTCCCTGCAATGTTTCGCTTATGACAAGGCAATCCCAGTGTGCATTGCTTTGCCAAACTGAAGTCATTTTGCCCTTTCAAAGCAGGAAGTGAATGCTCTGCAAGTGTAAGTATTTTAAAATCACAGCATTTTACACCTGACATGTCTATGTTATTATTAATCATAACACAGAGAGGGATGCATTGGTAGAATTAGATTTTTGAGTGTAAAAGGCCCGCTTTAACCACTTCCGGGCCGGCTGTAGTAAAAAAAACGGGTGGCTCGGAGCTCTCTAGATCTCAGCGGGCGTTTTTAGACGTCCACTCAGACACGCCCCCTCACGCACGCCACTGGGCGCGCACGAGCGGGAAACGGCCGAAATTTAAAAACAGGCAGCGATGCCTGTTACCATAAAAGCGATCTGCCAGCTGTAGAGCCGGCGGATCGCGTGTATGGGGTGCCGATCGGTCACCCCCTCTCCGCGTCCATCCCCCCTAATGTCGCGCTGATCCCGGGCTCTGCTGTGAAAATGGTTATTTTTCCGCGGGTGCGCGCAATTTTAAAGCTTGACATGTTTGGTGTCTATTTACCTGACGTGACCCTGACTTTTATATTTTACCAAAAAACTGGGTAATAATAAATGTTTCCTAACAATGTAAAAAAAAAACTTTTTTTTTCAACATTTTCTGTAATTTTTCCTAATTATAGTAAAAAATAAATTGGTGATTAAATACCACCAAAATAAAGCTCTATCTGTCCCCCAAAAATGGTATAAAATTCATTTCAGTACAGCGTTGCATGACGGAATAAACTTCAGTCAAAGTACCGCAGCGCTGAATACTGAAAAATGGCCTGGCCAGGAAGGGGGTCTAAACACCTGGTCTTGAAGTGGTTAAATGCACGCACCATAACATGTACTGTAGTGTACTTAGAAACACTTTAGGCCAGGTCCACTTCAAAGTCCAACTGAATTTCAGTTTAAATCGGCATGATACATTTAAAACACAAAAGTGTGCGATGTCTTACAACTTGTTTTCTTTAGAAAGCAACCAGAGCCTAAGCAGAAAAGCCAGTCCTTGCCAGCATGCTACATAGAAGGACCCATGCTCTCAGTGTGAGAGCAAGAGGTCTCCCTATAGGTGTTGGTCATGGCCCCTGCCAATTCAGATCTAGAGTTCTTAAATTAAAAGGAAACATTGTGGAGATATATGCCTGACTCAGCACGAGGTGTGAAATACAAGGCAATTACGAAAAAAATAATAATAATATTTAGAGACCTGTGAGCATTGTTATGCTGCATGACTGTATACATAGCACTGATGATGTATTTAAATAATCTGCTACAACTAGTACAGTTTTTAAAACTTGGAGAAGAACCCATCTCTTAAGATCCCACTGTAGAAGTATGCGTTCAACGGAAGAAATAAACATCTTACTTTATATCAACTTGTGGAGACAGAAGCTGCAAGCGAGTATGGGAAAACATCAAGGCATAGCTGACAGCTGTTGGGCAGTACTTGGGCAGATTATCTTGTTTCATGAAGCTGGAGAGGCTTATTATCCATGGATCCAGACCCTGTGTGACGTGTGCAAATATCCAGATATGTGATGGGCTGACAACATCAAACTGATGGCTGATTGGCGAGGAGCTCCATTCTGCAAGTGTCTGCAGATCAATTGAACTTGGACAGTACAGCAAAGTGGTCTAAAAGCAAAAAGAAAACCATGCTAGAGGTTAAACTGATGTACTAAGTATATGATGATCTTCAGAATGATCAACCTATTGTACGCTTCATTGGTACTCTCTGGGTTGTGCATTCTCAGTCGACATTTCTCATTCTTTAGATCTTCTGTTTATTTCTCATAGACTGCTAGGATACATATATGCCTCTACTAAATATGTACAACATTCTAAATAACTGTGTAACATCACTTGCCTGATCTGCTCCTGTAAGATGTATAAAGCTTTCTAGGACAGAAGGACTAAGCCTGTCCATCACATCAATAGCCAATTCTTCATCACACTAAACCAAAAACAAAACAAAAAGTTAGAGAAACCAGAACATAAAATGTTATTCTGTTTACCTTCAAACAAGAGTTTTCCAACCATCATCTACACCACTTGAAATACAGACACCCTCTCCTTCACATTATCATTACAAATACAGTGCATGCAGACATGACTGTTTTAAGAAATATATTCCCCGTAGAAGCCGTGGAAAAAAGTCACATCCTTCATCAGCATATCTTTGTTCAATTTATCAATGTATAAATATTTAGGATACAGCTTAAACTGATCATTTGGGAATATGTTAGCATAATGTAGACTAGCATAAAGGATAAACAAAGAAAGAACATTTCCAGAGTAGTTAAGCCTGTTTTTATTAAATGTCTTCTCTTACCTTGGGAAGTTCTAACACAGTAAACAGAGTCCGAATCTCTCGGAGGACATTAACAGCAAGTCTCCTGGTGGAGGATCGGCTGTTACATAGAATGACCAGTGCAAACCCCTCTACCACATGAAACACATTGGAGAATGGACTTCTCTCCAGAGGGAGGGTATGGGATCCCCCATTGGCCAGGCCCCGCTGTAATCAGAAAGATGGAAACAAGTATTAGTGCTGACAGTTTGATGGGGGTTTTTTTGTTTTTTTTTTATAACCAAGAATTTCCAAACTCACTTATAAATGTTTGATAGTTCAATAATCTTTACAGTGAAGAAGTTCCAATCTTACTGAATCTTAGCTAAGGCAACTTGCTCTCAATTTGGTTTTGTAAACAATACATCATGTAAAATATAAATCACACCCATTCCCACCACCTCTTTTTTTCTGTACGCACAAATTTGTCACCCAACCTGGGTAGGCACCAGTACATTTAGGGGTACATGGAAAAAACTTTAAGAATGCCGGTAGTGTGATCGTATGTCGCTTGGTCGCTAAGACACACTATGAAGGAGAAAGAAGACCAGCCTCTTCCTGGGCCTGGCTGCACGGCATCACTGGGTGTTATGGTGCTTGTGGCTGGTCAGCCTAACACAAAGCACAGCAAAGTGATAGGAAGTGGGGGACAACACAAGACTGCCTTCCTGGCAGTCTGATCGTTGAGCCGGACGATCCCAGTGAGAAATGAGGAGGGATAATAGTGAAGAGGGAGGGAGTGTAAAGGAAAATCATGCCTCTACTAGCTCCATCCCCTACCCCTCCCTCTGTTCCACCCCAATTCAAAGGCCCACAGATTTTTTTATTATAAATTTTAGCAACAAATGTCTTCCCAAGAAGTGCAAAAGCCCTTCAATATAAAATTAGTAAAATATAACTGCCACAGTTAAAAAGAAAACTGGGATTTGCTGCCACATGACCAAAAAGTGAGATGTGCATTGCCATGGAATGTTGCAATAAAATTTCTTCACCACTGCCTTGCAAAAATGCGATTACCGATGATCAAAGGATACCATAATAATCCTGAAACTAATTCAACTGTGCACTAAGCAATTGTCCATGATCAGGGCCAGATATACTCTCTGCTGCCCCAAGGCCAGGTTTCTCAATGCACCCTCTCCCCACCAACCCAATGGAGAATGGAAACCAGATGGTAGGGCGGCAGGGTTGGTTTTAATTTTTTTTTCTTTTACTTTTTTAAAATTTTATTTATCCTATCTTTTACTTTTTTATAATTTTTTAAATCTTTTTACTTTCGTTATTTTAATTATTATTTCTTATTGTTTTTTTACCTGCCACTTCCAATACAGGAGTTCTAGCACAGCACTGTGCAGGAACTCCTGTGACAGCCGAGATAGGAAGGCTGCGAGTGCAGCTCTCCCGTCTCAGTGTTCACACAGAGAAGAGCAGAGAATGGGCGTTCTCCACTCTGCTCCCCGCTCTCCATCCTGAAGAGAGGATCTCCATCACCACAGAGAGGCGGCCAGTGGGGAGAGAGATAGCCAGTGGCGAGGGGGGCAGACATCGCCGAGATCACTTGTACAAAAACGAGCGACGGCGCCCCCACTGTACATTTAGCCCTGTTTGCCAAAGCAGGGCTAAATGTAAAAAAAAACAACTACAGTGCTGCATGTCCCAGGCATCAGGAGATAGGAATACTACACCCCTGGGGCCCTTCTACTCCCTGCCACCACGAGGCTGGGCCTTGGTGGCCTTGTGGGAAATCCAGCCCTGTCCATGATTAACCATTAATAGTTACAGGTCAATTGGAGCTACTCATAAATATCGGCAAAACAATTGTAAAGGAAATCTGGGTAACTGACCAATCGTTCTACAATGTAGTTTAACCCTTGGTCTGCAATTTCTTTGGATGGGAAGGTGTGAGAATAGGGTGGGTAAATACCTGTGAGTCTGTGTTTTTATTGTGCATCTGAGTCGCCTGCTTCCACTGATTTATTAGCTGGACCAACATCTTCACAGCATTGTCTAAAAGAGTGGGGTGCACATCAGTCACCTCCCGCACAATAAAGTAAACAAATCCAGAAAGAACATCCTCCCGCCAGTCAGGGAAATCAAGCATTAGTGCCTGTAAAGTATTGAAAGCAAGCCCACGCAGCTCTTCATCCATATGAATTGTAAGCCTAGAGAGAAAAGAAACAGACATTTAACACAGTGGGCTTCACCGAGCATTGTTTATTTCAGCACAGCAGGGGAACACTGACAGCTGTTTAAAGGGTATCACATTCCACAATACACTGATAATTCCTATGTTTGCTGCATGTATATGCACTCATGTGTCTAGCACAAGCAATACTTTGCTGTGCGAACTGTAATGTACCAGCAAATGAAGAGCAGAGAGCATTAGCAAGTGAAACTACCCCTGCTGTGCATATGACACACTGCATTGGTGGCGAAGGCATTCACAAATTGGTACAAATGCTTCTGTATTCAATCATTAGCATTCTTCTGCAAAAAGGTCAAATTCATTTCTGCTCTGTGTAGCATCTGCAATTACACCAGTGCAACCATTAACGAAAGACAACTTTCCATGGCACCTGTAAATGGCCACTGATAGCAGCAGCCATGCTTCAACACATGTTACATACTAGTTCAGGGCATAAAAAGCAAACCTATTGACCAAGCAACTGCTCTGGAAGCTTTCATAAGGGCATATTCACTCTAAACAGGTAAAGAGGACAAACAGGGTTTTAGCAATAACAGTTTTACCTACAAATGAATACAACAAAAATTAGAGTCCAGCACAAAGGAGTTTATGTGAATTGCTAAATCTGATAAAGGTTTGGTCTGATTATGGTATACAGATCATCATTGTAACATATCATTACAAAAAAAATAATGAGTTTACACAGAGCCTTTCACACAGAAACACTTTTTCATTTATTTTATGTGTTGAGATATTTCTAGAACTATTTAGCGCTCGGATCTGAGAACACTTCCTGGCTGTCCTTTCCTGCTGTTGTGATAGCAAAGTTGGTCTCTCTGTCTCTACTCTGAGTCTCTATACTATGTGCAATTATAGATTAATTGAAATACAAATGTATCATAATCACAAACTACAGCTAAAGCTGGTCATACACTAGTCACCTGAAGGCTGAATGAAAATAATCTAACAGGTTCCTCCATCCAAAGTTGGGGATATTTTCCCATTTTACCTTGGCTACTGTATTCTGAGAGGCAGAATACCCAAACAATGACTGTAGCTGATTTGCTGTAGTCATTGCTCAGCCACCGATTTTCCGCCCGGCCCCTTGGATTTTGAGACGGAAAGATGTTGGGTGGAAGGCTGCTTCACATGTAACAAATTTCAGCTAAAATTTGCAATATGTATGCAGGCTTAAAAATAGCAAATTTGTCTTTAATTCCTAGGATGATACCTTGGACATGAGATCAGCATCATTACTGCTCAGCCAACTATATAAGCACTATAATAAGTTAGTACCATGTTTCATTACCACGACTTATAAGTAAAAAGAACATCTATCCTATGATTTCGGATGTGTACACGTGAGCTTTAAATGCTAGCATTCACTCAGGACACATATAGAAGATTATAGGGCTACTGAGCATTTCCGAACAAGAACATAAGGGTCAACTGAAACACAGAGCAGATACCTTCTGAGTTCCATAAGCACCGGTTAATTCAGCCTGAAACAAAATTCTTGAACTAGACACCAAAGATTCTCTAACATTTACTGCTCAATAATGATTGTAGGATATTTTAAAACATTTTACAATGTCAAGGAGGAAGGCTCTGCATGTGCACAGTATACAGTACAGAAGAAGCAGACAGAGGCCATTATGAGCCAAATTATAGACGACAATTTACCTTGCTAGCAATTCAATGAGTTCGGCTCTGCTCATACCGTCAGGGATAAGCCTTGGAATAGCAGCAATGCACGTCCTAAACAAGTCAATCTTGGGTTTCCTTTCACCTCTGTGATAAAAGAACAGCAACAAATCAACAACCATGAAAAAGGTATATGCTATTTTTACTAATGTCCTCTTCTATTGATATACCGCTTCAAAATGCTCATAAGTCAACATCTGTAAAACCTCCTTACTTGACTTAAATCTTGATCAGGAAATTGTAGGCTTATTAAATAAGTGGCAATAATAATGTGAAAAATGACCAAAACAGAATGAAAAACTGGAAATCCTGCACTCATATAAAATCTTCTAATTTATTGGCCTATAAATCTTAAAAACAATTCAGTATTACCATGTAACAGTTTCTCAATTAGTGATGTTTTGTGCCTTCAGCAGAGTAGGTCCTAACGCTAATGAACCATAGAAAATGATTGCTATGTAGGGGGTTTCACCAGCTCTAGGGATTACTGCTCTTAGTACAAAGTTTTGTCTCATTAAATCCATAACTGACAACTATCTTTGATTTCTGGGGACATTCCTTGTACCCTGGAAATGACTCCGATTTTCAGATTTTATCAATTGTGAAACAAATGTGTCTGAATGAGTTTTATTACTTGTTAACATTTCCCAGAGTGCTGATGACATTTTTCTTAAGAAGCAGCATATAAAATGTAAAACCAAAAGTACATGTGCTTTTATTTCAATAACAAGTTATTATTAAGTGTTCTGTGGACCTTCAAGATAGTACTGTGCATTTAAAAATGTTGACCAGAAGTAAAGTACCCCTGGATATTATTTTTAAATACTGATGGATATCTGGGACTCATTCAGTGCATGATATCAATGATCCATAGGGTGAACTACAGGCACCCTGATTAATAGTTGTAGACCAGTTACAAGGTTCTTTCCCTGTAGTGTGGTTTAGATAATTGTGTTTTCTGCTATTAGCTTAAAAGTCTGCATTCCATGTATTGGTTTTTTTTGTACAGCTGCCATTGTCCTTCTAATCAATGCCAACACTGGCGCTGCAGCTTAGATTGACACCAGCACCCCATAGTGTACGCTTGCTAAGCCTGTGCTTGCGTCAGCATGGTAGCATGGTGTATTTTATTAAATACATTACCCTATGCTTGCCATGGCTCCCCCTTGACCGAGAGTCGGCGTCTGTGTGATGTTAGTGTGAATAGAAAGGCTGCTTTGGAATGCAGCAAAATGCATTCCCTGCCGAAAAAAGTATCATTATGAAGAAGAGTTGTAGAGGTGCATGATGGCCCATTGAACCCTAAGGCAGCGTACAGTGAAAGTGCTTTGAACAGGTCATATGACTGCTACCTTAAGGCAAAAAAAAAAAATATGACATGTAGAGTAAACTTTTTAGTGAAGCATGTCTGCACTGTGGACATGTTTTTGAAGACTGGAGTGCAGCTTTAAAATATCCCCAACCTCTCTTCTCTTTTCACAAGAATGTTTCTTTTTCAAAAGCCAATGTTGTAAGTGTGAAAATCATCTGCTATAACCTAGTCACCCTTCTAAATACATTTCTGAGAATAGGTTATTCAGCTCCCTACCTGACATCTTGGAGGATTATTTCCATGCAAACATCATTGTGACACCTTGATTATGCTATGTTGGTCAGATAGCAATAGTGTCTACTGGATGCCTTTTGTAACTAAACAGTACAGGGACAGCACTAGCTGTTTGGAAATAGTCCTGAACGCCTAGCAAACACTGATTACAGCTCATTTCAGCATACTATGCAATTTCAAGCAGACTGTACCCCGGAATGGTGCTCTCTAATCCTTTACTTTCTCAATACACATGCTTTCAAGCTAATTACCAGCACTGAGGAGCTTTATGTGGTACAGTAATTGCTAGCAAACATAAGCTTCTAGGATCATTATTGATCACTGGGTTTAAGCACATCAGACATTCAAACAGCTCTCTTCTACAAGAAAACCGAGTGCAAATAGAGGCATTATCTGCTTATACATACGTGATCATATCCTCAGGCTCTTTATTAGACATCTGCACGCTTGTCATGCACATTGGCCTGCCAACTTCTTTGTCCAGATGCCTTAGCATGTTATCCAAAGCTTTACGGACTTGCGGGTAGTAAACAGACATGCCTGCACAGAAAGGGCAAACTATTAAGCCTTGCTAGAACAGCATGTGCACAGTGTGTTCTTTGCAGATTATGGAGCATAAATGACATAGAATTCAATGACTCAGCAACAAAGTATTCACAATAAAATGTTAGAGAATAGGTGCATACAGACCTGAGGTAGTGAATTAAAATATAAGGAGGTCCTGTAAGTAAAATTTGCATTGAACCAAAGTACAAATCATGGTCCGGACAGACCAGTTATTCAGTCTGTGTCCGTACCACGGTCCGCCATATAGGCACTACAACGCACAGCTGCTGGTGTGTGTTCCTAGGCACAGTGCTGATGTGCCAATCCCAGCGCATTACACTATTATTTTGTTAGAACTCCCCCTTCCTGTTTACGAACACGTGCATGGTTTGCGTGCACGTGTTCATTCTAATTAGATGGCTCGGGCGGCAGGGTTGGTTTTCATTTTTTTTCACTTAATTTTATTTTAGTATTTTTACAGCTGCCTGATCAGTTGAAGTTGGCCCTGCCTGCCTGACGTCACTGGTTGCTAGGAAGCCAGCAGTCCTAGCAACCAATGACTGAAGCAGAGGGGGGCCTGCGCTGGGTTGTGGCTGTCAGTGCAAACACCATCCTCGGTGACTGGTGTATCCACTGTCAGTCAGCTAAGGTGCCCATACACTGTTCGTATTCCGGCCATTTTTTCCGGCACCCTTTCGATCGGCATCCCCCGATCAGCTGATTGAATTAGCCTGTGGAAAAATCTGCGATGGTTCAGAGCCGGCAGCCAATGAGCTGCCCGCTCTGGTTGGGTATTCTGACAGGGGCCAGCGGCACCCATCAGAGTACAATGTAAACTGCGGGATTTCTTGATCGAAACGCTGTTCGTGTTGATGGAGGAATCGGGTCTATTGTTTTCATCAGCTTGCGTAATGAACGGAAAAAAATATATAGATGAGTTTATGGCCAGCATTAATGAATTCATTGATCCTCCTTTATTGGGTACTCTCCTCATTACTTAATGCATGCCCCAGGATTCCTTACCTTTCCTGAACACTGCAGGCGTGCAAATGGTACTTATGGTGAATATTTTGCACATTTTTTGGGCACCTTCCTTTTGAAACAGCATTCCAATTTCATGGGGCATATGGCTGCATTAAAAGTGGTGCACTTAGCAGGTGTCTTAACTAATCACAATGTATTATATAAAGGTATTTCACACTACCATGTTGCCACAAAAAATCTGATTTGAAATGGCATCTCAGCGCACTCTCAAGAACGCAGCTGTGATACAGCGCACCACAATGCAGTGTGCATTGTGGTGCACTGCAAAAAAAATGTGTCCAGACCTATTTTTTTCATACGCTGAGGTGCATTACAGCTCTTTCTTTGTGAAGTAGCTACCTAGCACAGCACACCAGAACACATACAAATGCATGCTCTGCTTCAAACTATGTTCAGCTGTAAATAGGCCCTTCAAGATGTCTGAATCCTGTCCAGTGAACTGGGAGCAGAGGAGGTATTTTTGGATTTGCAGATATTTGGATATGCTTATATGTGTAATGTTTGCAATGTTGCTTTGCACACAGGGCGTTTAGGAAAGACCAACATGGCTAGGCAAATACATGAAACTATTTCAAGATGGAAGAGAAATTGTTATCGTGCCGTGAAAATTGTTATGAAAATTTTAACAAAATGTCTACACTATTTCATCATGAAAATAATCTACTTGGAACAGTAAGGAGCAGAGAACATGCAGTAGTGCTGCCATTAGTTTGCTGTCAATGCCAAAGCAAAAGAAGACAAAGACGACAAACCTATGACTTTCGCTTCTTCATCTGTGAGCGTTTTATTTAAAAAGATTTTCTTGACACGCAAAGTGTTTCCTGAGGGAAGAACAACGCCAGTTGTGGGCATGGGGGGCTCCCCATCTTTCTGCTGCAAGCTGTCTGCTATGACAAGGAAGACTCTGAGACCAATATTCATCCTCTGAAAGACAGGCAGAGAAAAAAGCATTAACACTCAGGACAGAACTGTGCACTGACAGCCCTGAGATAAGAGCCCATTTCACTGCAGCCTCACCCCCCCCCAATAAGCAGAATGGCAGAAATGGTTGCTCTCTGACAACCCTAGAGATAGGCAGTCATAGAATTTGACAACATGGATTCGGTTACATTGCTCTATTCTCAGACATAATTAGCTATTTGCATTTCAGTCATAAACTATAATTGCTGACAGAATATTAACAAACTATAAAACACTTCCGTACAAGCCAATACAAGCTAATGTACCACTTGTAATCACCACAATGTACCACAATGTAATCACTCAATTTACTAAAGACATGCTAAAAGTCACAACAGCTTTTTATCTGGGGGGCTTCTTGCAAGTCATGTCCTCCTACAATTAATGCAAATATGTGTTCATTGAAAAAAAAGTAATTCAATGCATTTAATAGGACTTGCCTCCAGTAACCCACTGTGCAGCAGAACTCAGACTGCAAGAAGGAGGGGCAGCACTAGGGGCATTTAAGGCATGCTACATGCCCATATGAAAAGATATAATGACAGAAAAATAAATAAGTAAGCAGAGGGATAAGCTTATCAGTCAGTAAGCTGGGATCTTACTACTTCATTGCCCAGTCCCAACTTGGGGGAGATATGTGACCTATCTATACTGTGTAGCTGTTGTCTGTCAGGGCTCTGTAACCCTCAGGCATGAAAAGAAACAAATACAGACCTTTTGATAGGTAAAACAGGGGAAAGGTTGATGAATAAAGGAAACAAAATATAAATGCAATATAAATATAATGTTTTACCTCTGGGTTGATAGTAAATGTTTTTGGAGATTTTCCAACACTCAGAAGATCAAATATTATTTCTTTCATTGCAAAATCTAAACGTTCCTATAATACAATAAATGAAAAACACAAAACGTTTGCAGGTTCGTTCCTCAATTGTTACCAAGATAACAGCTTACAGCGATTTAAAAAAAATGAAAAAAAAATGCCCATAATGAAATATACTAACACAGGCTTCAGTTTACAGGAAATTGTATTTGATAATATTTAAATCAATATTTCTATTCCTCTTCGGAGAGAGATTGTGCCATTTTTCTACATTTTCATCAAATATCCTGGCATCCTGGAAAATGTTTACAAATGGCTGCTGGACTGACACAGGTAAATTACTATTTTATATCAGAAGCTGGTCCGCAATATACGTCCATTTTGTGAAAAAGACTTAAGAGGCCTAATTAGCACTAAGGTCCCATTCACACTTGGCGATTCGCAAATCGCGCGATTTGCATTTTGCGCGATATCGCGCAAATGCTGGCATCAAAAAGCATTGAATCGTGGCAAAATCCGCTCCAAAAAGGGTCCTGCTGTAGCGACACACGACCCGCGACAGCAGGACCCTTTGCCCCATTGCAAAGCATTGAAGAGCGATATCGCGCGGTAAATAGCCGCGATATCGCGGGAATTACCGCGCGATAAATCGCTCAATGTGAACGGGGCCTAAAGGAAACCAGTACTAGGAGAGAAATGGAGGCTGCCATTGCTTAAGTCCACCTATAAAAGCAAGTTACCTGCCTGTCACGATCTTCCAATGTTTTTGAACCATTGACCTTAACAAGCATGCAACAAGTGTTGCAAAATCATGACCTACATACTATGGTGTCAGCAACTTAGGAAGTACAGATGCCACCTTTCTCTTTTCTTCCTGGTTAGACCTTCATCAACTGTATAGGGAATAAGGGTAAATATTCCTCATGTGGTCACAGAAAGGTTACTTCCTGCATTGACACCTGACAAATGGGAAGATGGAAAATGTTTCCTCACTTCCAGTTTTGTTGATGTATCCCATGTAGGAACGCAGACAGCAATGAAATATGGTTTTAAAACTCGCACTCTATGCAAAACTAAAAACACGTTTTGCATAGACTTGGGCTTTAAAGAAAAAGTATCGTGTATATGTAGTAAGCATTTATTTAGAGTTACAATTGTCATTTTTGATGTTATGTTCGCATTTTTCAATGTCTGTTCTACATAGCTGTGTTGTCTTTACATTACAGAACCTTGTAGATGAACTACTGTAAGGAGATCTGAGCTAGACTCAGCCCATTTACCTCCCTGATTAACAATTGTTATCTTGCACTAAGGCAGTGCCAACCCAGACTTGTTCTGTGAAAAACAGAAGTAAAGTACAACACTTAGGCCCCATTCACACTGAGCGACATGAAAATCGCACGGTTTTAAGCGATATTGCGCGACGAGCGATATTGAGCGACTTTTTCCTATTGGGCTGTATGCAATCAGGAGCAATATCGCTCAAAATCGCTCGAAAAAAGGGTCATGTAGGAGCGACAAGCTACCAGCGACGAGCTACAAGCGATATTGAGCGATATTGAGAGGCGAGATGTGAACAGCTCCATTGAAATGGATTGGAGAAGCTACATAGAGAGATATCGCGTGGAAATATGAGCGATATCGCTGCAAAAATCGCTCGATAAATCGCTCAGTGTGAATGGGGCCTTATTTGGCACTGCAAAACAAGAAACAGACTGCATGTAGCATGGGCATATATGGCTGCCCTATGTGCTTACTGTATATTATTGCAAAGAGCCCCAATTTATTTAACATTATTTACTTCATGCTGATGTATTTTTCGGATACAATGCAGTGAGATTTCCCCCCCCTAGGAGGAGGCATTTGAGTGATGCACACTGTACAGGCTCACTATGCGCTAAACAGGCACAGCAGATAAGGCACTTCAGGATTGTTGCAGTATCAGCTCCCCTCTCTATCCTTGCTGGGCCCTAGGCTTCTGCCTAGATGGTCTTGCAGGTAATAAAGCCCTAACACGGATATTATGGATTTAGTACTTGTATACATAAGCAATAAATCATTTAAAACAGGTTTAACTTAACAGACTCTTATTGGCATGAACTATTCTGATTAACATTAAACAGTCAGAACATTTTGAAATAGTACTTAAATAATCTTACCTGAGCAATGAACTGAATAATCTTGACAAATATATTAAGAGGGGTGTCACGGGGCACTACGCTACGGGAGCCCTTAGGGAAAAGTGCGGATACGATGCTCATAAGGCGGCTGGAAAAAAAGTAATACCAAATTTAACTTATATAGTGTTCACAAATTCACATGACAAAAACAAACACATTAATAATGGAAAACAAGTCAAGGGGCACATGTATGCGCTGCCTGAACTCCTGATCTACAGCTTCAACGTGATCTTTGACAGTGAGCCTTTCAAGCTTCTGACATAATATTGGTGGTGACTGCCTACAGCCTTTTAGGATCCTGACACACTATTGGTGGGGACCTGCTTACAACCTTCTAAGGTCATGAAACATGATTGGTAGGGATTGCCTACAGCCCTCTAAGGTCCTGACACACTATTGGCCCATAAAGGTCCTGGCATGTGGCAAGGGTGATTACAGATTGCAGTAGATTGTATATGGCTCCTACTCCTTCTTGCAGATTTTCTATTTCTTGTTTTCTATTAGCATGTCTTGCTTGCAGTTATTAGCTGCACTGATGTTATTTTGTATGTTAATGTATAGCTAAAGCTAAAAAGTATTATTACAATGGGGAATTGTAAAAGCTCTGTCAGGTTTTTATTGTCAATGGGATGGTTTTTATTGTCACCACTGCAATGGTGACCATTGTCAATGGGATAAGAAAAAAAGTGATGAGAAGTTCAAAATGTTAATGTTTTATCTGGAAAAGGTAAGGGAAAATCTTCAATTGGGGACACTTGTCTAAGAGGGAATGAAATACCTCACTTCCCGGTTGTGTCTCCAAGACACAGACAGCACAAAAAAAACCATGGGTTTTAACCATTTTCAACTCTATTCAAACTAAAAAAGTTTTACATACACTTTAACATATATATGTTTCATAGAAAGGTACCCAAGTTGGTAGTTCATGGAGCCACATTTAAAGTACACCTGTCATGAAAGAGCTATGGGAGCTGACTTTGCTGGCCTCCGTCTGACAATGAAAGTTACTTGGCTGTGTTTAGCTTCAACACTTTTGAGTCACAGATTGAGAACAAACATACTACGAGTGTCAAAAAAAATGTCAAATTCCTTTTCTTTATATTCACGCCCGGTCAGTAAATCAGAACGCAATGAAGCCAAGGCATCAGCATGACAGCCAGAACTAGCATTCCCAAAAAAGGAGGCCTAAACAATTCTCTGACAGGTGTAATATAATTACAAATGGTTTGGAAAAATAAAACGCTATATAAATAAGAATAATAATTTAAAAAAGAATCCATCGCTGAAAGAATTTTAGGATCAGAATGTGAAGCTACAGATAAATAACAGAGATTTGTAACAGAGATCTTGTCTATATCAGAAGCACACTGTCATGGCCTTGGAAACCAGTATCATTATAATGTCAGGGCCCAAATAAAACATAATCTCATTGGAAACAGAAACTTGAATATGCAGAATTATAACACTAGGAGGTCATATCTCGGTTTTCTAGGCCCCACT